ACTTGTTTTAGGATCTCTGCTGCCTCAAACCCTGATACGACGGATAAATGATGGTCCGTAACTAACGTAATCAACCACCCAAAGTACACCACCACCAAATGTATACCCATCAAAAATAGCGCCAAATCTCTGTTCGCCTCTTATTCGATCGAATATCTCAATAGCCACCTAGTTAAATAGGAAATTGTGATATATTTAACAATAGTAGAGTTTCAAATTATATATAAATTCGTTAGATTAGGAAAATAAATAAGTATTTGGCTTAATAGTGCGACTGCTTCGGCTTAACTTAGATAGGGAGAGGTAACTAGGAATAGAAGGAGTAGGAGGAGTAGGAGTAGACCCTTTGGTAGGCTACTTTTTTTTACCTAATTTAGAAGGTAAAGAAGAAGCTCTTACCTTACTCTATATCTTCTAAGCCTCTTTTATAAGTCTCTAAGCCTCTTTTTTACCTACCTTACGCTGCTATTCCTGCTTGCGCTAGGCTTTGGCTATAGCTTTAGCTTATTCCTTCTCTTCTCACTTTTACTACTACTCTATAAGCCTCTGAGCCTTCCGTTCTGTAGCCTCTTATACCTATATATCCTTCTAAATAGCCTTCTATAACTTGGCCTGCTCTGCCTAAGTAGCTTAAGCCTACTTTTTCTACTCTACCTTCTATAGCTATAATTTCCTATTCTAGATCTTAGTTAGTAAAAATAACTAAGCCTAGCTAGCCTACTCCTTATTAAAAAGGCCTATTGCCTTATCTCTCTTTGTAGCGTGCAAGGCACGCTACTAACGTATAACGTCGTGTTAGTATTGAATATGTTGCTTCATTTCCTCTAAGTTGGTTCGATAGTAGTATAAGGCCAAGTTCTATCACGTAATAAGGATAGAGGACATACACTATATACCGGGGGGTTTTGAAGCTAAAGTATATAAAATAACGTTATATAGATAATGTCACTAGATAGTAAGGGAAAGGAAGATATAAGAAATAAAAATATAGCTATTATTATCTATTATTCCTTGCTAGAAGCGTCGTGCTTATTATTATGCGTAGTAAGGTAAGGAGAAGAAAAAAGGGAGAAAGTAAGAAGGAAAAATATATTATTATTATTATTATTAAATAGCGGATATTAGGCTAAGAAATAGTTATCGGCGTTATTATAAAATACCTAAAATAGATATTATTATAACTAGATAGAAAGAAAGATATTAAGGCTAAGAGATAAAAGATCTATCGTTATTACTATTACCCTCTTATACTATACTATTTATAGATTTATTACTTAGTATAGTAGTAGCAACCTCGCGTATATATAAGATAAGATTAGTATTAGATAGCTATAGTACTTCCTAGACTATTAGAGGTATCTTCTAGATAGATAAGGCTACCCTAGTATTAGTAGTTAAGGCTAGTTTAGGCACTAGGAGGTCTACTATAGCCTAGCTAAGGGTTATAGAGATATTCTATAATATCTTATTTAATACTATTATTAGTTCTTAGGAAGCCCTAATAGTATTATCGAAGGCGAGTTAGAGAGAAGTAGTAGCTATTAGTAGGACTTACTATATCTTATATATCTATTATATAGCCTAGTTATATTAGTCTAGTAGCAGATGTCAAATAATATTACCTATAATTATACTATTAATTACCTATTAGAGGGTATCCGCGATATTAACTATATTATTAAAGCTATTAATTAGAGCTAATACATTACCTAACTCCGTGAAGGTTTAGAAGGTATTACCTACTAGTAGTATAATAATATTAGGTATAGTTAGTTTAGTTATACTATTAATAGCACGCGTAAGATCTATTAGAGCTAGTAGTAGAGATATAATAAGAGGTTTCGTTAATATCGCTATTATTATAGGAGTTAGAGCTTAAATTATTTTAATAGAAGAGGAGTATAGTGTTAGACCTCTGGTACTGGGCGGTATCAGAGGTTGGTTCTCCCGTACTTGTTGGGAGAGACTGCAATGGTCCTCGATGACGGATGGGGGAATACTGTAGGGGTCCTGTTGTAACAAGACTAACCGTTGGTCCTTTCAACCCTGGGTCCCCCCAGGGTATCTATAGGACCCGGTGTTCGCTTAGGGTAGTGTGCCCTATACCCTCGGTGGGCATGGTGATTAGTCAGCTCACGGTAGCTGCTGCACCTCGTACCCTTGGTTCGACCCATGGTCGGTTCTACCAGGGGTCGGTTCCTAACAGTATCCCCCCCCCCGGGGGTTCGGCCTCCGAACCCCACGAAGGACCACGCCAAGGTAGGGCAAGGGCTTAGGGCTTCCGCTGTACCCCACGTGATTTTCCTCTGCTGTGTTTCCCTTTTTGGTTCCCTGGTGGTAACCTAGCAACGGCTCTTCTGTCCTTTGTTATGGTTGAAAATTTTCTCTTCACCCTTTTCCTTCCTTCCTTCCCTCAACCACTATCAACACCTCATTTCTGCCTGCGTTGTTCTTCTCTCCCAGCCGTCGCCATGTCTTCCCTTCCTGTTGATGGTACCCCCCTGCCTTGCGCGCGATGCCTAGGCAACATCTATGCTGTTACAAACCCCTCCAATGACCGGGTTCTGGAGCTTGATTGCCTGTATCAAGCAGGTACCCCATGTGAACGTTGCACACGTCTGAATCGCTCGTGTGATGCTGTGAGTTGGACGCTCCCTGCTATTTCAACGCGTATACCTTGGCTAACCCTCTGTCGCTGCTTGCTAGGTCGACCCTGAACTCACCCTGCCGGCCAATGCCCTGATCCAGGCTCATCAGGAATACATCATGGGTATCAACGATGAGGACGGAGATGAACTGGTTCAGGCGTCCCATGCGAAGTTGCAGACTGCCCAGCAGGTCTTCAAAAACAAGCGTAGTGGTCTGGCCCGTAGGGCTGCCACCTCCAAGGCTGCCACCTCCAAGGCCTCCACCCCTGCTGCGAAAGAGCCTGCTGCTGCAGCTACTGGTCAGGTCCCTGCCACCTCTAGATCGGCCGTCGTGGGTGCTGAGCCCGTTGCTCCTGTCCTCGCCCAGGTTGCTCAAGCGGCCTTGGCCCCGCTTGTGCTTCCTGACCTGAGGGCACAAGCCATGGATCGTCTTCTTCCTGGCCGCAAGACCAGGGGTTCGCGCCCTGCCACCTCTGCGACCACTGCCACCACTGCCAGTCCTGCCCCTACTGCCAGTCCTGCCACCACTACTGACGTCCCTGTTGCGGCTACCCCGGGTTTCATCTCTGCTACCACTGCTCCTATGGTCACTGCTCTGGAGACTCTGGTTGATACCCTTACCCAGGTTAACGATCGTTTGAATGCTAGTACCACCCGAGAGACAGTTACTAGGGAGAACGTCTCTTTCCTGCAGCAAATGTTGTTGTACTCTCAGGCCTGCGACGAGAGTGCTCCTACCCCTGAATTCGAGGTAGAGGTCGGGGACGACCTTGATAAGTTTCGCACCCTGATGCAAGCTAGTATGTCCCGCTGTCTCGAGAACATCGACATTGGTACTAGCCGTGTTTCTGGTCGGGTTCGTGACCTACGTAAGGACCTCGACAACCACATGGAGCGCTTGGGGGTTACCCTTACGACCGGTTTTGCTGGCGTCACGGCTGCTATTAATCAAGGGTTCGCGACCCTTCTTCAGCAAACTACTTCTACTCAGATCACTTCGACCTCTGCTGCTTCAATCCCCGCTTCCGTTGTGACCCCTGGTCCACCTCGTCAGGGTCGTCCCCCCGCGGTGTTGGCGCTCCTGTCACCCCTCCTATTGGGGTTTCCGCTCTCGTTGGATCTGTTGACCGCCGCCGACGCGGCGTTGATCCCCTTCCACGCCGGTTTGGCTCCTTCACCGGGTACGGAGATGGCCCCCTTGGGGCCGCTGTCCCCCTTGCTCCTGGCGTCCCTTCCAGCAAGGGTAAACGTTCTGGCTCTGCTGCTGGGGTTGTCGAGACTCCTACCTCAAGAAGCAACGCCGGGATAGGTCCCCTGCCGCTTCGCCCACTCCCAGCATTCAGTCCACTCAACTCGAGCAGTTTGTTAAGGTACGTGTCACCTCCTGTCCCTTTTCCCTTGGGTCTATCCTAACACCGACCTTTGTAGAGGGATGCTAACCTCTCTGCTTGGTTCCAGGACCCCACTGCTACCGCTGGTGGCAACCTTGGTACTGAGTCCTTGGAGGATGTTTACGCTGGGGGTGCCCCAGTCTCTTCTCCTGCTGCTTCTGGCGAGGAGGACCTGCCTTCCCCCGTTCGCAAGGTCCGTCGCTCTGGACGTTCCGTTCGAACCCCCAAGAAGTAATGATGGTTGGCTTCCCTTGGTGTTCTGGTGGTGGTTGGCTCCTTTGATACCCTGGGTGGTTTGTTCTTCTCTTTTGTTCACAGGCTCATGTAGTTAATGCAATCCAATGGTTTTTCTTATTCTGGTATTGGTTTGCCTTCTTTCCTAAGGGTTTCCTCGTATTCCTCAAGGATCTCGGGTGCGTTCTCGAGGTCTGCTTTACTGAGCCATGTGGCTTCTTCCAAGGGGTAACCTAGCCACTTAACCTTAAACTGAGTCTTCCTATACCTCATCCTGTGGTCCAATATCTTTTCAATCTCCCATTCCTCGTGGTTATCTATAACCACTGCTGGAGGGGGGTCGGGTTCCTCCCCTTCCCTCCCCCTGAATGGCTCTAGTAGGGAGACGTGGAACACGGGGTGTATCTTGTAGGACGGAGGTAATGCTAGGCGATATGCTTGCTTGCCAATAGGCTCCCTGATCGTGAAGGGTCCTATCATCTTACTATCGAGCTTCTTATTTGGACGTTGCGTCTTGATATTCCTTGTTGAGAGCATGACCTGGTCCCCTACCCTGAAGTTCATAGGGTCGTGTTTTCTGTCGTAGTACTTGGCCTGGTCCTCCCTGGCCTTTCCTAGGTTCTCCTCCAAGGTCTCTCTCATTTTCGCGATCAACAAGGCTCTCTCCTTTGCTTGGACGTCCTTCAGCCGCCTAGGCTCCCCTACCTCTATCTCCATAGGGCTTCTTGGGTGGTATCCCATCAAGGCCATGAATGGGGAAGTCCCAGTGCTGCTCTGGTCGGAAGCATTGTATGCGAATTCCGCCAGAGGTAGCCAGTCAACCCAGTCCGACTGCTTGTAGTTGATATATCTCCGCAGGTAGCCCTCTAGGATCTGGTTCTGGACCTCCGTTTGGCCGTCCGTCTGCGGTCGGAAGGCTGTGCTAAGCTTCCTATTTATTCTCAGGTAGTAGCACAGGGTCGACCAGAAGTCACTGGTAAAGAGGGCACCTCTATCCGTGATTATCTCTTCAGGGGTACCATACTTGGTGATTATCTCCCTGAAGATGATGTCTGCAAGGTCCTCTGCTTTAATCTTTTTGGTGCAGGGGAAGTACCTAGCTAGCTTGGTGTATCTGTCCACCACTACCAGGATAGCATTGCTGTGTCCCCTGGCCCCTTCCTTTGGTCCCGAATCCGGGAGGTCTGTGATGAAATCCATCGACATTGAACTCCAGGGTTGCTTTGCCTGTTGTAAGGGTTGCAGCTGCCCGTACGGCTTGTGCCTTGGAGCTCTCGCTTTTTGACATATCTGACATGTCTGCACGTACTCCTTTATATGTTGGGTCATACCCGGCCACCAGTACTTCCGTTGTACCAAGGCTCTGGTCTTTCGCTCCCCGAAATGGCCACTCCAGGGGTCGTCATGGTGTATACGCAGGATCTCTTGCCTCACTGCCGCATCTGGCGATACGTATACCCTTTCCCCTTTGGTCAACAGGCCTGCTGACGTCTGCCCCCATTCCCTTGGGGTACCCGCAGTTACGTCAGGGTCCTGCCTTCCCGTTCTACCCGCTCCTTGTTGCAGCTGTGCTAGCTTCTCTACCGCGAAGGCGTCCCCCCGTTGTAGTGAAGCTATCAATTCCAGCAAGTTCTTCTTTGGCAAGGAATCTGCGGTTTCCCCTGTAGCCGCCCTTACGGCTAGCAGGCGAGACACATGACGTACCGGATAGCCATGGTCAGCTCTGGGCGGGAGCTCCCTTGGTTGGGAGACTTGACCCTCTCGGTCGTCCCCCTGGACGGGAGGACTTCTCGTCCCCTGCCCTTCGTAGCCTTCCCTGGCTACTTCTTGCCCAATTAGCTTGCTCAGGGTCTCCTGTGCAGCTAACGAGAGACCTCTCTCGTACTCCCTTTTCCTATCTAGGGTTGGTAGTTCCTCAGGAACACCCCTGTAATCCGGACGGCGGGACGGACCGTCCGCAGGATTGGTCTTCCCTGTCCTATAGACTATTTCAAAGTCATAGGCTGCTAGCTGTTCCAGCCAATTGACCTGGCGTCTGTGGGATACCTTTTTGGATTGCTTCATGAACCCCTGTAGGTTATGATGGTCTGTAAGGACCTGCACCGTGTGCTGCGCTCCTTCAAGGTAGTGCCTCCACTGCTCAAACGACTTTACGATTGCTAGCATCTCCTGGTCAGGCGTGCCATAGCCTTTCTGGGTGTCATCCAGCTTTTTTGACCAGAAGGCCACTGGGTGCCACTCAGGCTTCCTTCCCTCCTCCTCGTAGGGTTGGGAGAGCACTGCTCCGCATGCGAACGTCGAAGCATCCGTTTCCACCCTTATAGGCTTCGAGGGGTCGAAGTGCTGGAGCAAGGGTCCTGTGAGGAACTTGTCTTTTAGTTCCCTAAAAGCCTTGCTAGCCTCTGGGGTCCAGGTGAACTTGCCCTTCTTTTTCCCTCCCTGTGAACCCTTGAGTAGCTCAGTAATGGGTGTCACGATATGGGAGTACCGGCGTATAAAACGTCGGTAGAAGTTGGCAAACCCCAGGAACACCTGGATGTCATGGAAGCTACAGGGTTCCGGCCACTCCTGTACCGTAGTAACCCTGGTAGGATCCATGCTTACCCCTCCGCGGCTCACTCTGTACCCTAGGAAATCTACTGATACCTGGAAGAAAGCACACTTGGAGAGCTTTGCATACAATCTATACTTCCTCAACCTATCTAGTACTAGCTTAACGTGTTTTACATGTTCCTCCCTACTTGCACTGAAGATAAGGATGTCATCAAGGTAGACAATACACGCGATGTCCACTAACCCTGTAAGGACTCGATTGATGTACCCCTGGAACGTTGCAGGTGCGTTAGCTAGACCAAATGGCATTACGAGGTATTCATAGTGTCCGTACCTTGTCCTAAAGGCCGTCTTCCACTCATCGCCTTCCTTGATACGTACCCTATGGTACGCTTCCCTGAGGTCGAGCTTGGTAAAGAACATAGCACCTGCTAGTCTATCCAGCATCTCATCGACCCGGGGTAAGGTAAGACGGTTCTTTATAGTCATCTTGTTGAGCCCACGGTAGTCAACACACGTGCGTAGACTACCGTCCGCTTTAGGTGCAAAGAGCAAGGGTGCTCCAGCAGGGCTCTTGGACTCCCTGATCCAGCCCCTCTTCAGCATGGTGTCGAGGTACTCCCTCAGTACCTGCAACTCCTTAGCTGAGAGGTTGTACAAGGGTAAGTGGGGAGGGACCTTCCCTTCCACTAGCTCGATCTCGTGGGATACCAGCCCGGGGTCAGCAAGCGTATAGGCCGCTTCCTCCGAGAAGACATCCGCAAAAGATTCGAACTCCCTTGGTATTTGGTTTTTTCCGACTGCCTTCTCCTCTAGCGTTAGCAAGAGGAGTTGGACCGTCGCAGGTGCTCCGCACTCGTCGGGTTCTGGGGTTGCCACCCATTCCACGGCGTGTGGGTAGTGCCACCAGTGTTCCCTCCAGTTGATCCTCGGGTTCACCTCCTCTAGCCATGGCTTTCCCAGGATCACTTCGATGTCGACCATGGGAATAATCACGAAGGTCACCTTCTGCGTACGGGTAACCCCACGGTAGTCTCTCAAGGCTACGCTCGCTAGGGTCGTACCCTGGGTATCCATCTTTTTTCCGTCCGCGAGGTCTATTTTCCCGCCTAGGGTCCATTCAGTCTCTTCGATGAACAGTCGGGCCAAGGTCGGGTTAATGAAGTTATAGTCCGCCGCGCTATCAACGATGGCTTGAACCTGTACCTGCTCCTTTCCTTGGGGCTTCAGTGTAGCTAGTTGCGGTGGTAAAGCGACCCCTGTCGTTACAGTGCGTGGGTCTGCTCGTATGGCAAGGAGCTTGGGATTATCATTCCTTTTCTGGTCTTGTGGCCTCTCCCTTAGGAGCCTTGCTCTATCTGGGCAATCCTTTGCCATGTGCTCCTTCTTGCCACAGGCCAGGCAGAGCTTCTCCTTGAAGCGGCGTTCCCTTTCCTCAGGGGTAATATAGTTGAATGCACTCTTGCGTTTCTTATTTAGTTGTGTCGTCGCCGGGTCTCTATCCTGGTTTTGGCGGCGCTTGTTATCGCGAGACCCTTGGTATATTGGCTTAGGCATATCCCTCATAGCCCTGTTCCCTTTATCTTGGTCCTTCTTCCGGAGCACCGCTTCCAGCCTATAGGCTTCGGCTTTTAGCTCTTCCATGGATCCTGGCTTGCTCTGGAGTCGTTGGATTTCATGTTGCAGGTCCGGGAGAAGCTTTCCAATGGTCGAAGGCACTAGGTACTCCTCGGGCAGATCCGCTCCGTGATCGTTGCGCAGACCCTCGATATAATTAAAGAAGGACTTGACGTCTTGCTGGGGTCGCTGTCTTGCTTTATCGAACCTAAGGATGGCATTAATGCCTCGGTTGGTAGGGTGTTCGATTTGGTCTCGGCACCATTCCTTGAATCCTTCCCAGGTCCGGGGCATTGTCTGGCCAGCCTCCGCTTGGTTATGCCATTCGATCATAAGGTTCGATTTGGCCTTCCATCCTTGCCTGGCCCAGACTACCTTTGCTTCGTCTGGAATCTCCAGGAAGGTATTCTGTAGGGTGTCCTCCAGCTGGTAGAACCAGGTAGAGCATCCCCCTAGGGTGAGGTCGTCCCACGTCGGGGTCTTCACCTTTGGTAGGAGCCTTTGGTACTCCGGGCGTCGAGCCCCTTCGTCGCGTCGTTCTGGTGTGGTCTGGCGGCTACGCGCCTGCGTCTCATTGGTGAGTAACCTCTGCAGTTCCTGTCGTTCCTCTGCAGTCATGTTCGCAATTTGGTCCACCAATGAGCGTGGTTCAGCCTGCATGTCGCCTGCAGGTTGTGTCTCACCCTCCTGCAGGTGCGCACGGCTCCTTGTTGCAGTCATGTCTCCCAAGTCGTTGGGAACGGTTAGAATGTTAGACCTCTGGTACTGGGCGGTATCAGAGGTTGGTTCTCCCGTACTTGTTGGGAGAGACTGCAATGGTCCTCGATGACGGATGGGGGAATACTGTAGGGGTCCTGTTGTAACAAGACTAACCGTTGGTCCTTTCAACCCTGGGTCCCCCCAGGGTATCTATAGGACCCGGTGTTCGCTTAGGGTAGTGTGCCCTATACCCTCGGTGGGCATGGTGATTAGTCAGCTCACGGTAGCTGCTGCACCTCGTACCCTTGGTTCGACCCATGGTCGGTTCTACCAGGGGTCGGTTCCTAACACTAGCTATAAAATAGTACTAAAAACTTATTAATAAATAATAACCGTATCTATGAGTGCTGAAATAGCACCTTTTAAATAAATAGGAATAGGAGAACTAGTAATACTAAGTAGAATTAATACTACTAAGTAAGCGACTCTTATAACTTAGAAAAACGAGCTATCTGCTTAGACTACTCTAGCTTAATCTCTCGCAGAAGTATAAGAAATTAAAGATAAAGAACTTAATTACCAAATTATTATAGCAAATTATAAAATTAAATATTTATATAAATACTAGTAGCTTTAGAGGCTATAGGCTAAGCTTACTACCCTCTACTAATAAGAGTAAGCGACTTATTTAATAGATCTACGGGAATAAGAGACTAATAAAGGCGAAAATGCGATTAAGTAAATGCGGCAATTTAGGCACGCTATAGGTTACGTAATAATACTATTAGCCGAAAATAAGCCTAGAGAATAGTATAGTAAAATCTAGGTACTATTAGTATAATAGGAACTACTAATAGTATATATAGCGCCAGGATAGAATTAGAGACCTCTTACCTTTAAGTAAATAATATATTTTACCTAACTAGATTAAACTACCGCTTCTAGAGAGTTAATAAGTAAGGCTAGAAATAGAGAATAATAAATATTAGTATCACACTATAAATAGGAAACTATAATCTACTAGTATATATCTAACTAACTAGAAGCTAAAAATACCCTTTACTATTAGTAAATAACTTATTCTAGATAGTAAGACTAGTTACCCACTATTAATACTAGTGAGACTATACTACAAGCCTAACCCGGATAGAATAAGCTAAATACTTACTAAAGGACTTGCTAGCTAACGGAGGTTAAAATACGCTACTACTAAGAGCTAGTTAATAATAAAGAACTACGCTATAGCAAAGAGTATATTTTAAATAAGGGTAAAGCTAAAATAGAAGCTATACTACCCTTAACTATTTACTTAAGAACTTTTCCTATGAATTTATAATAGGATATACCGCTAGATGTGCTATTAAATATACTATAGGATAGACTATAAAGGTAATACGATAGTTATACTAACTACAAATCTTAATATTATAAAGCTAATTTAGCTATTTACTAGATTTAAATAGATCTACTAGTTAAGAACTGCTAAATAAGAATAGAATTCAGATTAAGTTTCTAATCTAGTAACCTACACACTATACTTAGTGCTCCTATAGTAGCTGGTGGCCGTTCTACTAGAAGATTACTATTTAATATTCTAGAAATACCTACTTAAGTGCTATAGATATCTACTTAAGCATATAGCGTATTTTATACGGCGCCAATTCGCCTTGCGGAGCTACTAATCTAATAATTAAATATACTAGTGTAGGTAGGCCCTATAGGTATAGTACCTATATAAAAGACTAAGAAAAAGTTCTAAGTAAGTAGATATAAGGAATTTTAAGAATTTATAGCTAAATATTAAGCATTCCACGCATATAATAGTATGTATTTCTATAAATAAGATAGTCGAAAGGTTCTAGAAGTAGCTCTATATTTTGATACTAGATTTCTTAGCTATTAGTAGTTATATTCCAAGGACTTAGTAATACTACCTATGTAGATTAAATTTATCTATTAGATTTAGACTCAGATAGGAGACTCTAAGTCGGTTCCTAACAGCAGGCCACTTATATCTAAATACTAAGCAAAGAGAGAATTAATCTATCTACGAATTTATAACCTATTTAGAACTACTTAAAAATAGAATAAAGATACTATATGCTAAAGAGTACTAAAAGGCTCATTTACTTACTAAAGTTCTAGACTCTATTAGAGCTAAGTTTAGCAAGTACGCGGTTGATACGGAAGGCCTTACCTATAAGAATCTAGTCTACTAATTAGGTAAAGTCGAAGACAATATTAAAGAAAGGTAAGAGAAACTTAAGAAGGAGAGTACTACTTAATATTAATATTAATAAGGAGTAAAGAGTATATTTCTAATTTAAAATACTACCTTTCGCTTAGGAAATAATCTAAATCAAGAATTTAGAAAATGGAAATTCTTTAATAGGAATAGGAATACTAAACCTAGAGCTAATAATAGGAAAGACCAGAATAGACTATAACCTAACTACAGAATTTATAGACTAGGCTATTTAAATAAATAGTGCTTTATATAGAAAAGAGAAGCGAAGTAAAAGGCTAAAAGTAATAAGAAATCTAAGAAGCTAAAAAATACCTAAGGCGACTCCTAATTATTACTAGGACTACTAATTTACCCTTTAGCTAATAAAACTCCTCCGCAATATCCTTTCTAATATCTATCAGGATCCAGACTCCTAAGGGAGAAAAGCTAGTAAATACTCTAGTAGACTTAGAAGCCGAAGCTAATTATATTAGACAATTTTAGGCTACCAATAATAAGCTAGAGATTCTATCTAGTGCCCTTAAGTCCTTAAAAGTAGCTAATAGACAGCACCTACGCTATTTTAAAAAATACCTACTCCCTATTAGTATAATTAATAATAAAGGCAAATCATATATT